TAAGCATTACGCTCCACTGAACTTACATTTCCATTCACATAATATTAAAGCCTTTACTGCTTGAGAATAAGGCTTTGCACTCAGTCCAATATATTACAACTAATGACATTCTGAAAGACCTCATGTGCACACACCAGAATACAAGCGCAGCCGTCTTTTAGGATTCATGATGACTGGAGTTTTATTAAACAGTTGCCCCTGACCTGACCAACCCTGACTTATAAATATGTCTACTACTAACATGCAATCTAATACTTTTTGTGAAAACATTATCCCTTTTTTTCTTTTTTTAATAAGGAAGGGGGAAAAAAGGAAACAGTAACTCGTAACTTTTTTTATAAACATAATTGAGTAAATTCTTTCAAAACTCTTCTTTCTCAATGTATTTCATTACTTTCCCAACAATATTTGCTTTGTTTGAAATCAGCTTGAGGCAACGTGATTTTTTGTTATTATTGAATGTGTAGGCACACAGCACTAACCCGAAGATCCTTTTGTCTTTACAGTATTACAGTCTTTGTTTGGGCCTCTCTTCTATGGTCTTTGTCTTCCTAACAGCCCATCACCAGGAGAGTAAAAGTGTTCCGTCTAAAGACAATATTAAGTGTTGCATGCTGTTATCATTCCTCCAGTACAAAATGTATTTCTTATGCACTTTAAGTGTACATGAGGAGACGGACATCAACAGTCCTGGTGCTGTGCAGAAATACATTTCAAACAGCAGTTGATGAGTAAAGTTGGTTTCAAAGTTGCAATTGTTAAGTACAAAATTGCCTCGCTACGCTACTACTGTATCCCTCCACTGCAGCTCACCTCCAAAAATACTGGAAGGATACAAAAATCATTTTTTACCACAATTGTTACCATATTTTAAAGATATGTATTTGATTTTCAAACTCAGACTGCTCCTCATATGATATTGCCTTTAGTTGAACTTAAGATAAACAGGATGAAGGACTACAAAAAGAAAGAACTCGTGGATGTGAACCTTTCCTTTAAAGTCACGAAAAGTTAAGCGTAAGATATTAATAATTTGAACATACAATTTACAGTTTACCTTTATTTAGAATGCAAACAAAACACACAACAAGCAATTAAAGTTATCAGCACTTGCACATAAGTATGTACTACTTTTAATAAAGCACAGCAGAAGGATATAGAAGCATTTCAGCCCAATACTTTTACTAACGGTTTAGACATTTGTGGGAGTGACGCCTCTTAAACAGCAGCCAGGTACCGGCCAGTTACAAGCCTGCTAATACAGATCATCACCATGCTCTCATGTTTTCCATCAAAATATAGTTGTGAATTGTTAATAGCGAATATAAGCATAACTTTTTACAGACAGATGGATGCTGATGTCCTATACAACAATTCCGTTGTAAGTAAACAGTGGTTAAGATGTTATTCGTTACTTATTTAAAATGCTAATAATTAGCCTGGAGAATGCCACCTAAAAAGTTTTAAAGAAAGGATTTCACATAAAAGTTTCTTTTTTTCTCTGTCTCTCTCTCTCCCCCTATCTCTCTTTCTATCCCTGTCTCTATCCTCTCTCAATCATTATTCTTAGATTACTTTTTAATAGCCCAATGTACACACTTCTTCAAGTGCTTTGTTTTTTATCTGCTCCACCAGTAGCTAGTTTGCAGGCACACAGCCTCGTAGAGTAGCACTGTTTTGCCCCGCAGACATGTCTGTTTGCATAGCTCATATTCTTGGCTCTATTTTGGGCCTGAGGAGATGCATTGGGGGTACACTGCAGGCTTAGGCTAAGGCGACTGACGGGAGAAATATGGATATGTGGCGGAAAAATATGTTATTGCTCCAAGAGAAGCTTGTATAATGTCAACTGCAGCTAACCCTCTCACTTAATGCATACTGATTCATGTATGCCTGTCTAACTTGCCAAGCATTAAACCAGAAATATATATTGTGACTTCCACCTTCTCGTAGGTAGGTGGATGAATGGATGGATTTAAATCATTAAATAAAACACATCCACAGGCTTATAATTACATGTATTTGGAAGCATTAGCATGTAATCGATTGCATTTAGTCTTTTTTTGTAACATATGGCAGCATATGCTTTTCTCTGCAGGCCATACAAAGAAACACAGTGTATAGATAAAGTAGGGCAGCTCGATTATGGCAAAAATCATAATCTCGATTATTTGGGTCAATAATTGATATCACGATTATTAAAAACGATTATCCATTTACTTTGAAAACATCCATTTATTGAAAAAAAAATGGAACAGTATGTTTTTAACAGTTGATTACCCTGAACTTTAAGTATAATTCAACTGAAAAACCAATAAAAAAAATTAAATAAAAATTCATTACATTTTTGTTTTATTTAAATAAATAATCGTTTTATTTCGATTATGTTGTTTTCATAATCGTTGAAAGCCAAAATCGTAATTGCGATTCAAATACGATCAATTGAGCAGCCCTAAAATAAAGTAGAACTGGGGGGAAAGAGGAGAGAGATTCAGATTAGGATTCCTGTCACATTGTCATGGCAAGTCTAAGGCCTCTGGTTGAGAGTTGGCTAAATGTCAGCCTATGGAGATGAGACAGAGAGGAGCAAGGCAGTGCTGTTTCTGTCCAATTTAAACCCTGTTTCTGATGTCTTGTCTCGTTAAGTGGCTGTCATCAACCAACTGTGCGTCAGACTTAAAAAGAGATGCTGTGTTTTGTGTCTTTGAGAGATAGACGGAAAGCTACATTCTCTTTCTAGGCATCCCTGATTGAGTTTGGCTTGAACTATGGATGAATGCGCTGCTTTGACACCATCTAGTGTTGAAACTTTGTGTAGAAAAAATGTTTTTTTGCTTTGGTTTTTCATTTGACTTTGACTGTGCAGTGTTGCGTGTGTAGTAGTTTGACACTAAAAGGCCGTTTTGTTTGCTGAAGGGGAAACGTTTATTTGTGCTCACTTGAAATCTGAGTAGTAATGTACACAAGATCTTTTGGGTAAAATTGGAGACTTCTTGTGGCTTGCAGTTTAACTTTGAAGTGGACATCATTTTGAGACATTTTAACAATGTTAATGAACTTTTTCTGGAACAACACCAAATATAATTTCAATCATATTATTTCTCAATGTGCTTACCATGTCTGGAAGAATAAGTAAAACTGCAATAAATACATTAAAAAAAGAAATGTATTTACTACTACTAAAACATGTTGAGCAACTGGCCTACTCTTATCCTCTTCCTTATCAAACCTGTGTGAATAATAGATGCTAAAAACAATGTCTTACTTCAGTAACTAGAAGTTGCTGTTGATATTTAACACCCCCTTGTACACCTTTAAGATCGTGTTGGTTGACAATTACCTGGAGAAGTCATCTTGTGTTGCTTTATCTCAAGAAGAGGAAGCAGATGTTAATGAATGCCTTTTGTATAAACACGCATATTTCTTAGCGTTTAGTACCTTTCCAGCATATCGGCAAATCAGTTACACAGCTAAGCTCAGTGTCTGTGTATAGTCATATGGTTCACAGTGTGAAGGAATACAGTCAAAGAAAATATCATATTGAGTAGCTTAAATCAGACCGCTAACATATGTAGTTGTTGCCTTTATGTTTTTGAAGACAAATTCATGTTCAATGTAGTTAATCAGGTACCAAGAAAGAAGCATGTATTAAATAATGATTTGACAACTAAGGGAATACAATTATACTTCTAAAATACAGTAAATCAAATACATGACTTGTGTTATCATCATGCAAAATATAATACAACAAGTTTCTTTTACAGTGTCAGGGTCTTTCTTCAAAAGTTTAAAGATAACTAAATCCACACTCTCAGTAATAAGCCTGTGTTGCGATGTCTTTAGTTTCCTGTCTCACTTGACTTTGCAGGAAGCCCATATTTGGCTACAACCACCGGAGCTTTGCTTCTCCCATGCAATCATTATAGAGATTAGGTATTTAGTCCTTTCTTTTATTCATACCTCTGAGGGCCAGTTCGTACAGCATATATACATACATTTAAAAAACATGCATATTCCATAAAACAGATTCACACTTTCTTGTCATAAGGGAATAATGTACTTAAGATGCCTCCTCTGTGTAAGTGAATATGAGTACCACATTTACAGAGTACCATATTTCGCTATAAATCAAACATTTTCAAACTCATAGAGGCACTAGATGATAAGCCAGGGATCATGAAAGTCGGATGTCTGTGGACAACTGATTGAAAAATCCATGGCAAAGCATCTAATAGCTGTTGCGACTGACTATAGCCATCCACAGAGCCACATTGCTATGGTGGCTTTAAAGGACAATTAAAGAGTTTAAACCATTGTTTGCACACTTAATATCTTGGACATGAATGTATTTAGTATAACACGATATAGTCAACAAAGATCTACAAAGCTGGAATAAGGCTACATGAGAAGTAGGGCTGAAGTCTTGAATAGATTTCATAACGATAAATTATGATAGGATATTGCAGTCACAGATTAAAACCTTGCTTTGCATTTGATAAAACTCTAAATGAACTAAAATGTATATATCAATTATTACTTTCACATAATTGTATTGCACATTAAAAAAATATACATGTTGCATCCGAGCTCCTTTTGTAATATGGCTGTCCAGGTTTGAAAGAAAAGACGACCTGTCCATGTGTGTCATTTGTTCCTGAATGACACACATGTTCCATTTGATATGGTTGGAAGTGCCATGACACATAAATGCACACTTTTGAGTAGCGTTTCAACACAGACTCTTTTTCATTGCTAATCATTGACACATTTGAAATCATATTATTGTTGGAAGCATCTCCACTTCACCCATTAACTCAAGAGGACATCCTTTTCAGTTAGGCAATCCAAATAGGAGGGCACTTAACGCTTTAAAAAGATCGAGAAACTCATACCACTCCAAAAAGATCGAGAAACTTCACAGAGCTGCTGTCAAATATTGAGATCGTAAAAGTAAAACAAAACCTTGGCTGTGGGTTTCGTCGGTCTTCACTGTGGTCAAGATGTTTTTGGATGAGCGGATCGTGACTCTGTTCAAAAGGAATGCCCATCACACACTGACCTACTGGAGTGTTTTCTTCAGCTTTGGACTATGCATTGCGTTCCTTGGACCTACAATTTTGGACTTGCAATGTCAAACTAACTCAACACTCAGTCAGATTACCTGGGTCTTCTTCGCCCAGCAGTTCTGCTTGTTGATTGGCAGCTCTATTGCTGGTGTTTTCGAGAAGACGTAAGTATAATTTCCCCTACCGTCCAGGTGTGCATGAATATTCTGTAAACAATGGACCATCATTAAAAGAGTATTTGTCTCTCTTTTTTTTTTTTAAAGGTTGTTCAGGGCTCTAAGTGCCTTATTTGTCTCAGCTCTCACCATCTCTATAATATTTGCCATAATCCCGGTGTGCAATAATGTTCTCATGCTCGCCATCGCTATGGCTGTGTCTGGGTTTGCGATGGGCATTATTGACACCATCGCTAACATCCAACTGGTGACTATCTATCAGAGGGACTCGGCTGTTTTCTTACAGGTAAAACAACCTGGAGTGCCTTTCTCTTAATCTGTAGAAATACTGACATGATATCGTGTGCATTCATTGAATAACTATCAGCAGATAAATATAGTATTATATAGAATTTAGTATGTGTTATTTGTCTTTTTTTTTACAAATATAGGAAGCTAGCACGAATGTTCTACGCCGAATGTTCAGCAATCTATTTTTCTAAAGTTATGAGGCAATTATATTATGACAAACACAGTAAGTTATGTCTTTGACCTTTTGTATTCTACATTTTTGCAGGCTCTTCATTTCTTCATTGGGTTCGGGGCCCTAGTGAGCCCACTGATTGCAGACCCCTTCCTCTCAGAGACGGGCTGTGGGAATCACACAGGGAATGCGACAGAGACCACAGATCATCTCAGGAACATGCTGAAAAACAGTCCGATTGCAGGGCACGATATAACTCAACTGCCCCACCCAGAGGGAGGGGAAGAGTCCAATGTGCACTATGCCTTCTGGATCATGGCGCTTATCAATGTAAGACACTAACCAAATTGTAGATGTGCAGGAGAAGAGTTAAGGTTTTTCTTAATTTATTAAACCAATTTTTTTGTGTGAAAATAAAATGTGTGCCCCCTCAGCTGCCCGTGCCCCTTGCAGTCCTGTTCCTGATGTATCGGGAGCAGCTGATCCCATTCTGCCCCAGTGGAACTCCTCGTCTTCTGGACAAAGATGAATTAGCAATGGAGAACCAGCAGGGGGCCGAGGGCACGGATGTGGAGCAGAAGGAACATGAAGCTGGAGGTAAAGACGTGGAAGAATACATTTTTATACAGAACTCATATGAATAATGCATACATCTTAAGTGGATTTTAAGTCAGTTCAGATGAAAGAAAATCAGAATAAATGCATTTTGTTCGCTCCAATCTGTCATTGTTGACCTTACACTCTGTTGCAGGTCATGGGGATATCTTCAGCTGCTGTAGGAATGATAACCTGAGCGGGATGCCTGTATCCTTCTTTATGATTCATATCCTTGGTGGGGGTGTGCTCTTCATGACCGATGGCATTGTGGTGAGTGACGGGTGTGGATAAAATATATGAAGTGCATTTCAGTTACTGTTCAACATACTTTAAAAAAAATCCAAATAGAATATCTGCTTCACATAAAAATCTCATAATGGATCACATGAAAGAATCTGCCTTTTTCTTTCAGGGTGCATACGCCGGCTTCGTGTATACCTACGGTGTGTCACCACCTTTGTCATTGCCTAATAAGACAGCGGGTTACCTGGCCAGTATATTTTGGGCAGCCATCACTGTTGGACGTCTTTTGTCCATTCCTCTAGCGTACCGTTTCCAGCCTGTGAGACTACTCATGTTCAGCCTGGTAATGCCAATTCAACATTTCGAGTGCTGTAACATTACAGATTAAGCACATTTAAACTAAGAAGTCAAACACATAATTGATAACACTCTCTCTTTTGGTTTTTACAGGCAGGTGCTATTGTTACTTGCTTGATGCTGCTTATTTTCTATGACAACCGCCCCTTTCTTTTTGCCGGGACCGGTTTATGTGGGCTTTTCCTCAGCTGCATATTCCCCTGTATGCTCGCCTATACTGAAGACATCCTTGATTATCAGGGTATAATGATGTTTTCACAGCAGATTCGATTAATTATAACACAGTAATGTAATAAAAGCAAGGAGAGGATATAAACCATACAATACTGTTTTGCAGGATGTGCAACGTCAGTCCTGGTGACATCTGCAGGAATGGGAGAGATGGTAATGCAGGTTGTAGTTGGCTCAGTAAGTCTAATTCATATCTTCATTATTTAAAAACAATTATGAGCAGAAGTCGAGAAATACCATTGTAATTGCAAAAATCCCTAGTGAAGATTTAGATTAGTGTTCAGTAGTTTATTGTTGGTTTATTGTCCCCAGATTATCCAGAAAGGCAGCTACAGCTTCCCGCTATGTGGAGTGGTAATCGCCTGCATTGGTTTTATTCTCTTCATTGCTCTCCTCTTGTTCAGTCGAATGCACCAAAATTACCTCACAGGTACAGTATCATCAACTAGCAACCTCAAACTGTGCTGCATATGGTTTGTTTTTATTATTTTCACACTCATACTACCTCTGCATCCCAACAGGAACATCGAAAAAGTCCACCATGGTGGAGGAACCAGCAACAGAGCAGAATGGATCTGCAAAAACAGAACAGAAAGAGGAGCCAGAGAGCAGCTGAGAGGAGCAGCAGCTGTGTTTTGTCCTCTACTGGCTACTGTAGAGAATAAAGTATTACAACAATCCAACTTCAAATATGTTTTACCCAAAGACTACTAAATGAACATTGTGTTGATGAACTTTTATTGTCCTGGAAATTAGATATGTGCGACATAGATAGTGTGCTGCTTCTTGTTACAATTTACAATACAAGGATTATGATGATTTGGAATACCTTTAAATATCTAAATTGTTTCGTTTGAATTATAATCTCTTTTTTCATATTGTTCAATGTGTTTTGGCGTATCTTTTGGCATATGTACTTGAATATATAAATAATGAATTTGTGTATTAAAACAATTCTACTGAATGGTGAACATACTGTAGTTTTGAGAGTATAATTTATATTCGACTACAAGGAAAATAATGTAGATGCATACAACACACATGCAACAAATCAAATGTTTATTTTCTTTGCTTTCAAAATGGACTTGTCAAGGTTACAATGTGCAATGCGCACCTTGCACTCAGAGAAGTTTCCCCGTGAATACTAAGAACAAATGTAAAACAGAATCCTCCAGCATTTGAACAGTTAACCAGTCAATCTATAACTTCAGATTTAGGACCAGTTGCAACAAGAACAGGAGGTGTCGAAGACCAGACCGGCAGCGCAGTTCTGAAAGTAGGTCTTTCCCATACTGCAGTTGTAGAATTGGTTCTTGTTTGTTGGGTCGGGGTACATGCCACTGGCTTTTGTAGCGCAGAACTGGCTGTCCATGCCCTTGGTGCCCGAGGCCCCACCAGAGGAGCTGCCTCCACTGGAGCTGCCTCCACTGGAGCTGCCTCCACTGGAGCTGCCTCCACTGGAGCTGCCTCCACTGGAGCTGCCTCCACTGGAGCTGCCTCCGCTAGTTGTGCTCATTCCTGCGATAGGAGGAAGGGGAGTGGTAGGAGGGGCGCAGGCTGGAAAACACCACAAATTGATGATTTAATAACATTTAATTTCCCTGAAAACACTATGGTTCACGCTGATCACAGATATTACAATTCTTACAAGCTTGTTCCAGATTAAGGCCCTGTTTGAGAACATTAATCAGTGGATATTTTCCCTGGTTACAGAAAGTGCCCATGTAGTCATCCATGTCAAGAGTCCACACCATGGCGCCTCCAAAGTTGTTCTTCTTCACCCAGTCAACCTACCAACGGACAGAAGGGGGCATTGTGGTAAGTATTTTGAAATAAAAAACAAAGCAATTTCATCTGACCGTGACATTGAAATACCATTACCACCATACTTTTTAGTTCCACATTCGGGGGAATTTGCAGTATGCAAGCCAGCATACCTTTCTGGCTATACTGACGCACAATCCGTTACACAGTGGATACATAAGAAAGAGGGGAAGAGCTCGAGTCCTAATGTAATGACAAAATAGTATGCCCCGAGTGTAGGTCAGCTGGAGTAGCTACATTATAAAATTAAAATATTTGATTTTAAAATGGACTCACACAGTAGCTACAAACTGCAACATCGCCAAACATACAAAAACTGGGGATCGAATAAAAATATCTAATAAGTTTGTTCCTGTCACTTTCTGCTGCAGCACTGAGGAGAAACTTTCCAATTTTATAATAATAATTCTTGACAGATGGAAAGCTTTTTTAGCTCGGAGCTTATTCATAACAGCCAACAGATTGGCCTGTCAAACGGTAAAACAAGTATTCTGTGCAGTTCTGTTCTGTACCTTGATCTTGAAGCTCTTCATGTTGTCATAGCCCACCCACTGGTTTCCCTTGTAGGCATATGGCACATCCTGGGCCTGGTTCCAAACCTCAGTTGCTCCAGTTTTCAAAAAGTCACAGATCTGTAATTTTACAAAGGAGTGCATTAAGGACTAAGAGATAAATTAACTTTGTAATATTGAGTCTGTTATACTGTGTAGACCAACCTGCTCTGCTATAAAGCATACAAACGAATATAAACACTGAACCACCATCATCATTCAAGATTAATTTCTTGTACTTTATAAAAATATGCAGGAACCGTACCTCAAAGTAAGCGAGCTCTCCAGCCTCCTGTGTGTACTTTCCTGGAGTTCCAGCACCAGCAATAGCTGCTCCAACACCATGGTTAGATGGGCTCCTAAGAGTGAATGTGTTGCCATATGTGGGGAAACCAACAATGAGCTTCTCAGCTGGGGCTCCTTGGCTCTTCCAGTAGTTCATGGCATAATCCTGGAACAAAGGAGAAGATATACCTGCCTCTGGAACTACAAAGCTTTTGTGTAAGCTTTAAATGTAGTTGCATTTAAAGCTTGCAGACTGCAAGTGGATTCTTTATACAAGCCCAGGATGGATCATAGATTCAAACATTATTTTTGAAGATGTTCATGCACTCACCACGTTGAAATAGATTAAGCCACCATGATCCTCTGGGCCTTTGAAGAGAGGACTGCACTCACCAGTCATGGTGTCCCAAGAGCCATGGAAGTCATATGTCATGACGTTGATCATATCCAGGGACCTGGGTGTGCAGAGGTTACATTAACAAGCCTATATTTATAGTGTAGCCTAATAGGGATACATTCTGAGTTGTTCCCTTTAACTATGATTTGTTATGTTGCAGTGGATAAGGTTTGACACTCCACAAATATAGCTTAAAATGTTTACTGGCCAAGCTGGGGAATCTGATAGGCAGAATCAATGTTGGACTTTCCAGCCGCCACAGCAGCAGACATCAGAAGACGAGCCCTGTTGCTCTGCTTGGCCTCGGTCTCAAAGGCGGCTCTCAGCTCCTGTCGATTTTCAACAGATGTAAAATATCTAGTATTTAGTCAAGTCTTTGTAATCCATGACTTGTAACATGGGCCAGACTGCGATTTTTGTCATGGGCTTTTATATTCTTAAATGATTGCTTTCCAACACAGTGGAAACCCCATTGGGATTTATAGTAGTACAATTAAGCCAAGCTTGAGCAGTTGCAAATGCTGTCAGGTATGACCTTATTTATAAGTTATTACATTTACTTATAATAATGTAATTTTAAGAGAAAAACACTAACAAGAAATTAAGCATTAAAGCAGATGTAACAAACCTGCAGGAAAACGGAGTAGTACTGCTTGTCTGAAGGAGGCCCTCCTCTGTTGGCTGGATACTCCCAGTCAATGTCAAGCCCATCAAACTCATACTTTCTCAGGAATGAAATGACTGAGTTGATGAAGGTCTTGCGGTTTGTAGGGCTCAACACCATTTGGGAAAACCTAGTTGAAAAATAAAATAAATGTCACAAAAGATATATAAGACTATATAGAGTGTGAAATCTGCTAATATCTGTATATGATCTCACCCTGTAGAGCCGAAGTTCCATCCTCCAACAGACAGGAGAGTCTTCAAGTTGCCGTTCCTGACAACAAATCAGACATTTTACGATGCAGTGATACTAAAAGCCTTTTCTAACTGTGATCCATCTTTTTCTTTCCATTCGTTTAATTAAACTAAAGGTTTTAAGTGACTCACTGGTTCTTCAGGGCGTTAAACTGGCCATAAAGCTCCGCATCGTTCCACTCATAGGTGGCCAGTTCGTTGTTCTTGATGGTGGCAAAGGCATACAGGAGATGGGTGCACAGACATGGGTCGATGTCATTGGGCATAAATATGGTCGGAGGTGGTCTGTACTGTGCCCAGTTTGTGAAGTAGCATGACAGTATGAAGGATGAACCTTTGAATCAAAACAAATATATTATTTATGGACCAAACACGTATTGTGATGCAATTTCTCACCATAAAAAGGCAATTGAACATGCATACTTTATCCCATGTTCATACAGTATGCTGCTTACCGAGCTGGGCTTGCAGCAGCAAGGCCAGAGCTGTAAAAACAAAGTCAAGTTACCTTTTAGTTAATGGATGAAAATACTATATTCAAATCCTGAAAGAAAGCACATTCAAGGAGACCCTTTGATGCACATATGAGAGAAAATGTTAAATCTTACCCGTCACAAAAAGTACTTTACCCATGACTACCGTGTACATGGAGGTCATGCAACAGGTGCACTCACTTTTATACCCTCACATTCTGCTCAAAGTGAACAGCCTTTCTACATATGCCAACACTGTGTTTATTTGCAAAAGATTGTTTCAGAGAAGATTACAAAAATGTGGGAGTAAATTCTGATTACTTATCAGTGTCAGGCATGTTCTCCACATTTCTCCTTGTGTGAAGGACTCATTCAGCAAAGCAAACATAGTCTAAGGCCAATAAAATGCAGAAAATATGCTGAAGGCTTGTTTTAAAATGTACAAGAACAATAAGAAATGTGTCACAAATGTTTTGGGATAAAGATACATTATTTTTCATCAGTACTTCCGGACCTGCCAAATGTGTAAAGAATTATTTTAGCTCATGTTAAGAAGAAGAAAGAAGAACATTTCAGTGTTTAAAGAGGATTATTTATAGGCAAAACAAAAGAAGGAAAGACAGATGTTTCTAAATTTGTCTAAAATGATATTTTATCAAATATGACTTTAATGCTATGCAGGAAATTGTCTCAGTTTAGCTGTGACATAAAGCATTAGAAGTCAACTCACATAAACAACAGGCAAATTGCCTTTGAAAAACTACTTAGACTGTGATACGTGATGATAAATATGTTTGACAACCCTAATCATGCTGAAAAGAGGATTGTGATATGTCATGAGGAGGGATTGCATACAAAAATCAAAAGCTATTACATATAAATGGATAACTTATCTAATCCTTTCACTTCCATTATAATGCAGCCTTCTTTATCTTTAACAGTTTATTTAATATTTAAAGAAAGATATTCTGGTGTCAGCGGAAAACACCTTGGCTGAACCGAGCCAAGCTGAGCTAGATTGAAAAACATGTTCTCTTCTAAAACAAACCTACTTTTCATGGCATGTCTCAAACAATTAAATTCAACTACTCTGAAGGTGAACTGAAAGTGGGATGATTCATTTACGAAATTACTTTCTTACTTAATAGCGAAAAGAGTCAAATGTTAGTTCTTAACACGGTAATTTCATCATCCAAGTGCTTTTTTTTCTCAAGGTGCAAATCAAATAGAAATCTATCACATCAAAATTCATTTAGATTATCCATCTGCTCAGTTAAAAAGAAACGAACACTGTCACTTATAAACAGCTTACATTTGAACACAACTTGTTCAGTTTTCCTATGAGACTATTCTATGCATAGGTTTAATAAGTAAAATGAAACCCAGTTGTGTTTTTCTAATCAGATTTGTCCCTGTGGGTGTTTTGTAACCTTCATGCTGCTTGTGTCAGCAGCATAGTTCTGCTTTTTCCATTGTGGGTTAACCTTGAAGGTCAAATTATTAATACTCCAGCTTCTTCTTAAACTCTGAGAATGTATTAATCTATGTCCTTTCTTAAAAATGTAAATTGGTACAAATATTGTGAGGTTCATAGATGGTAAAGAGTAATGTTTTGGTGCATACAGTTCTGTGATGTAAAAGACGTGTCAGTCTAACTAAATAGGAACTCTTTTGTAATCTCAAACCTCTGACACAATCAGCTCATATTTCAAAATGACCTCACGTCTTGTCTTGCGGTGTTTGTTGTATAAATATTTTCCCTAGACACATTGCTACAGTTACATGAACATGACAATTTCTTTGGAAAGGCCAATTCAATCTGGACTGCAACTATTGTAACATTGTTGTTGGTTATTCTTATAAATACTATAACAGAGCAATGTGTTAGCTGTCACTGAAATGAAAAAAACACAATAAACTGGAACAATTTGAACATAAAGAAAACTCGTGTCCGCAGGACTGAGGTGCCCCACAGGAAAAAAACTACAGCCAAATAAGTCAAACTATTTTAATGTAATATGTACATCAAATATCAAAGCCCATGAAAAAAACCTTAAAACGTACAGTGGCGCAAAATGGCAAATAAACCAATTAAAATAATGAAAGCCTTAAGAGATTAAGGCTAGATAGATAGATAGATAGATAGATAGATAGATAGATAGATAGATGGATAGATAGATAGATAGATAGATAGATAGATAGATAGATAGATAGATAGATAGATGGATAGATAGATAGATAGATAGATAGATAGATAGATAGATAGATAGATAGATAGATAGATGATTATAAAACGACAGTTTTATCTTTAGTGCCACCTGCTGTTTAATTAAATAAACTGGCCGCACAACCCACCCTGCGGTTTCCCACACAGATGGGTAAAAAACTCAAGGAAATACGCAATAATAACCATACAAACACTGGCCAATGCAGACATTGCCTAAACCCCACGAACATCCTTATTGCACAACCTTACATGAGAGTAATAAGAGGAAGCCTCCACATGTTGCACACTTTGCTTCTGCTTCACATTATGATTTTCATCCGCACCATGAAGACCTCTGGGATATCTCTTGGCTTCTTTAATGGTAAGTAACATCCATTTTTCAAAATATATTCATAGCATAGACACTTGATAAGAACAATGAACTTGTTTGTTTTATGTTTTTGGTTTTTTTCAGCTCCATTTCTCTGTCTCTTCTGGCTGAGAGCCGAGCATTCAGTGGACTCAGTCCGCTTGTCGGCTCCAGAGGTGGTAACAGGAGCATACGGAGGGTCACTGACAGTCCCTTGTCAGTACGGCCATAAGTACAGAGAATATACAAAGTACTGGTGCAGAGGACCAATATATGAGCTGTGTGACATAGTGGTGAAAACACCCAGGGTGCGAAGCAGTGACAGAAGCTCTATTGCTGATGATAAGATAGCAGGAGTCTTCACTGTGACTATGTCTTCTCTCAGAGAAAGTGATGAAGATACCTACTGGTGTGTGCTCGCCAGACCTGGAAGAAACATCTACACTGGTGTCCGGATCCACGTCTCCCAACCAGGTAACCTTCACTACAACTGGGTTTGCTCAGGTTCTTCATTATCATCAAATACATTTATTTACCTACCTTGAAAGACAAAAGATTATAAAACTGACTCTAACTTGTAGACAAACCTCCTAAATCTTTCTGATAAAATGATTGTATTTGCCTTGAAATAAAAAAAATGATTGTCTTGTATTTTTTTTATGTGTGGTGAAGTCAAAGACAATTTTCCACTTTTTGTTACAGTTTGCTTTCCCGTCAATAAACGTCATTAAAATGTTCAAACATTTACATTTCATGTTCTTGTGTAAAGTGAAATTACAGGCCAGTGTATGATATTTGGTCAGGGAATATTGAGCCCATATAATGGTTAATAGTATATAAACATAGTTTAATGAGACAGGGGGGTTCAGTCAGTAAATCTAATTTGTTGTCTTTAAAAGTGTTATTTTCCACAGCAATAAGAACCACCACTCCCACCACCATACTGGAACGATATGAAATGAGGTGAGATATACTCTCAATATACTCTCATTTCCATATTGTCCTTCAGTGAAACATCGCAAAAAAGTTGTCGCCCAGTTACCAATAATAAACATGTGAAAGTATATGCTATATAAGTAAATTGTTCTAATCCCAAATGTTTTGTTCTTTTCAAATAGTTGGTGGGCAACTCTACGTTGGATAGTCTTTATTTTAATGCTGTGTTGTTTGGTATCAACACACATCGCTGTTTGGAGGATAAAGATTGCGAGAAAGAAACGGCAACAACCACAAGTTCAATATGAATGCCAGGCAACACCAGAATTATAAACAATGTATGAATCAAAACTCAATTATACTGAAGCTATTTAAACTGTACTCCCAGTGAACATTATATCAGTGTGTGAATTAAACTATGAAATAAACCCTTTGAAAATGTGGCTTTTTTTTCTTAGTATCTAAATGATTCAAACCTAATTAATTTCGGTGCCAGGGCCTAAGATAACTTTGGACCCAACTATTGAATATCCAATTATGTTAAAATGAGCACTTCTGGAGGAGTAAGGCTCTTGGCTTTCATCAAATTATTTTGCTGCCAGTTGCTGCCAAGAAAAAAAAGGTGTTCTCCAAAGATCTGAACGCCAGGAAGAATACAAATTCCACCATGCCTAAATGAAGGCCCCATTCTTGGCAAGTCCTGCTTTTAAAAGACAAAACATTGACAAACAATAAAGTTCAAGGGTGGTTATGTCCTACTCTATTTGTTGTTAACCTAAATTCATATGGAATACCAAAGCTAAGATGTTCTCTCTCTTTGCAAACTGTGACTTCCGGTTACACTCTGTCCTAGCCCAAGACAAACCCAAGAAAGGAAGGGTATAATATAGTCATTTATATTAAAAACTGTGTAGGGAGTGGATGAGTGAAAATGTGCTAAAAAAAGGAACCAAAAGCTGTGAGACGGAAGTGAAGAGATCTGCCGTAAAGACTGTCTTCTGCTCTGGATCATATTCGGGCCGGAGTGTGTCCCATATCGCTGATTACCCTCCAACAGCTTCCACTACCAAGCAGAGGAGTCACAAATCAAAGCTGAATTATATTAAAATTCCCCAGAAACAGTGACATATCATATTCTATAAAAGAGGCAGTGGTGATTTGTGGTCCTTGTCAAGCAGATTTCATTACCCTGCCGGTTGTAGCTGCAAGAATGTGGGTATGCTGGTCTTTGCTTTCAGAGAAAACCAGATATTAACATTTTTTTTAAGCCACCCCTGGGCTACAATCTAATGCAATAAGTCGTCATTAAAACCTATTTTTAGGAAAGAATATAATGTCCAGTTTATGTGTCAGCGGGGCCCGAACTACTTGGCTCTATTGGATTGTAGATTGATTGAGTTGTTTGTAATATTTTGTCCCCATTGTGTATGATAATGAGAGAAAACAATAGAATCACCATTTAGGTCTTTTTCACAGCAGACATTTTGACTTGTCATGTTGGAAAAACAAGAGTGGTACTCATAAAGGTAACAATAGCTTATTTCTATTCTAAAGACCAAAAAAGCTGTGACAGTGGGCCAGTATTCACAAGACGAACCCTAAAAATGAAGTAGCTTAGCCATTATTCATTGTATTAGTTTTCTCTGTTACATCCTACATGACATGTAAAAATGTCTTCCATGATAAGTAGATTTTCCCTCAAAACACATCACAGGACTAAGTAAACATACAAGAAAAGAGCATCTAGTCTTGTATTATTTTCTTCTGTTTGTATTGACTAGCTCAGCTAAACACATAAATAAAAAGGCATAGGCTACATACAAAAAACAAAGGTTCTTACTCATATCACTTAATTTCTCTAATCCATTCTGCAGATGTAGTGGGGAAGAGGTAGAGCTCAGATTCAGGTGAGAATGCAAGGTGTAAGGAATTTAGGAGGTGATGTCACCATTTCTGCTGCAGGAACCTCTCTGCATGAACTGGTGTCAAGGCAGCCACCATAACCGGAGACGGTAGGCTTTCAAAGTAAAAGCACACATGGAAGATGAGCGAAGTATGGACGAAGGTGTTGGAATAAGCACGCAGATATTTCATTTAAGTAAAAGTAGCAAAACTACTATGTAAAAACACTCATTCACAAGTAAAAATCCTGCATTCAAAAGTAGGCCTAGGGTCAGCATCAACATATGGTTAAGATAAGATGAGATTTACTTTATTGATCATATTTCGGGAAAGTTTTTCTTCACAGCAGCATGGAAACAAGGCATTACACATAATGTGAAAATGAAAAAGTAGAACAAAAACATAAAGTACAAAATAAAATTAAGTGTGCTAGGCATAGCATATTCAATAAAATATAAATGTAAAAGGTATAGCGTGAAGATGCTATTATTGTAATTTTACTGATTGCAATTAAAAAAAGACATCGAATTAGATTCAATATTTCTAGTGGTGTAAAGTAACAACTAATTGCATTTATTCAAGTAGCCTACTGTGGATGTACAATTTTGAGCTACTGTACAATTTTGAACTACTTTACTTGAGTAAGTACTACTCCACTACAATTCAGAGATAAATCATGTTCTTTTACTCAGGGCCGGCCCTTGGCATAGGCAGTATAGGCCAATGCTAAGGGCGCATCAATCAATGGGGGGTGCCGAAAATAAAAAAAAAAAAAATTAGAAATAACAAATATATATTATTTCATAACAACACAATTTCCCGATTTTGGATCAACAAAGTACATTTTATTATCTTATACTAACAGAACTACGCCTATATTGCGTACAGCGTCCATAAACTATGGTGCACCCCCCCCCCCGCCCCCAAATCAAGTTGATTTACAGCCCCAGTAAAAACCAGAGGTTTATGTGAAATAGTCCTTTTTTTGAAATAATGGTTTTAGTGTGCAATTATAGATTTTAATTTTGTATTTGTGTTAATTTAAAATAAATCAAACTCCCACAAAACGTATACAGCTTTTTATTAACATTGGAATTGACTGTGTAAGCGGCCGCGAGGGAGAGAGCTTTAGAGAGCTCTCTCCTGAAAGACTGAGAGGCTCTGATAACCTCAGCTCAGTGAGGTAAAGGCACACCTTCATATGATCATTATAGTTATAAACAAATAAGAGAATAGATTTGCATCTATTCTCTTATAGTATAACATACTATATGATAATAATAAATACAATTAATAAAAAGTTATTGATAAAGAGTGTAAAAGGGGAGTGATTTGTAAAATATCCATAAAGAAAAATAAATCTGTTTACAGTTCTGTTTCAAATGGGTGTTGAGAGATGTATCCATAGATCTCTTAATGTTGCTCTCAAAGTGCACCAGATTGATGCTTTTAACCTCAATATTAAAAAAATAAATTAAAAAAATCTTCCCGGGGGAGCATGCCCCTGGACCCCCCGAGAGGAGGTTAGGTCCACCCCCCCCCCTTAAATCATGACCACATGGATAGGATACTAAATACATTTGCACACATCTTGTGTCCATATCTTTCTGTTTTGGTGGTCTTTGGTGGTTTTTGGTTTTTGGTGGTTTTTGGTGGTTTTAGGGGGGCGCACCTGCTAAAATCTTGCCTAGGGCTCCATATATTTAATACTTTTAGTTGCTTTTCCGATTTGGATTAATGATGTGAATTATAATCAACTCATACATTAATCTGCATATTGAGTAGGCCTACTTATACTTTTGGTACTTAGAGTAGGCTATATTTCGATGCTAATACGTAGGCTATGTACTTGTAAGTAACATTTTGATTGCAGGACTTTCCTACAATCTGGCACTTCTTCCACCTCTAAAAATGTATATATTTGATCTACTTTGGTAACTGTCTTGTATAAAATGTGGTGTCAGGTTTCGCAACGCAAGTTTAATGTTTTACTTTGAAAGAAACTTCCGGTGTTATTTTCTGTAGCTTCACAGTGGCAGTCTGGGCTCAGCGGCTCACAGTTCCTGATCGCTGGTGCCAACGCCCGGCGAAACAGAAAGCTAACGTAAGCTAGCACATATACGGAGAGAGACATCGGTAGGTAAAGCAAACATTTGATAACATCCCCGCCTGCGTTTATATTACAAATACAAGTTGGGATATTGTTTTCATGCTTCGTCTTGAAAGATGGGATTCCGATAAAGCAAGTAAACCAGCGTTAGTTTACACGCTAGCATTAGCTAAGGAGTTAGCCTTGTCTAGTGATTGCTAGCACTGTGTTAGCTTAGCTTGCTCACCGATACTCAAACACATTTTCACTATAGTTACGCGTTTATGCAAGTAAATAATGTGATATTGTGGAATTGAACCATAACACACATTGCCGTATTTACAAATACTAAAGTTAGAAATGTTATAAAGAGATTAAGCAAGTCAATAACATTGTCAATAGCTAGCGTTAGCCTCCAGACAGTTTTGGTGATGGGGTGTGACACCGAACCAGCTAATGCTAGGACCCAGCCTTTCCTCTAAGACCCCCTTGCTTAATCAAAGCTGTCGAGAGCAGTTACAAAACGGTAGACACTTGACTACAATGTTAACACAGGCCTAACATGTTCAATGCCCTAACGAGTTATCGCCTCTTCCAGCAGCTAAAAGCAGAATCAGAAAGCACAGAGATGCAGACCATCAAATGTGTGGTGGTGGGAGATGGAGCAGTGGGAAAAACCTGCCTACTGATTTCATACACCACCAACAAATTCCCCTCTGAATACGTACCCACAGTAAGTATGTGTGCTGTCTTCCACAACCAGATACATGCTTTATGAATTAAACATTATTCTTAAACGGACCATGACATGCCTTTCTTTCTTTTATCACAGGTTTTCGACAACTATGCAGTAACTGTAATGATTGGGGGTGAACCATACACCCTTGGCTTATTTGATACAGCAGGTGAGAGACTTTTTCATTGAATTGATATCTGTTGATGGAATGTCACATAATGGGCTAATTTGCAGTTTGGTCTCTTTATAGGTCAGGAGGACTACGACCGGTTACGACCACTAAGCTACCCCCAGACAGATGTCTTCTTAGTCTGTTTCTCCAGTGTTTCCCCTTCCTCATTTGAGAATGTTAAAGAAAAGGTGAGTACCAAGTGTTATCTCTTAAAGCAGTTGAGTTGATCACCTGCAAATCAACCAACATCCTACTTTCCAAATATTTGAAATTCCTTTACAGCAGGGGTCACCAACCTTTTTTAGGGTGAGGGTTACTTTCAAAAAGTAAAACAAGTCGGGGGCTTTTATTCCTCTTTTTTTTGTTTTTTGCAGTGTTTATATTTAGCACATTTTAACATTATTATATGCTGACCTTTAACCTTTGTGTGCTGTTTGGGTCTGTGGGACCCGTTTTCAGTGTTTAAGAAAATGTATCCAATTTAATTATTTTAACCTGCTTTATTTGGGGGGGGGGTCCTCACCTCCTCTCGGGGGTCCGGGGGCATGCTCCCCCGGGAAGATTTTTTTTTAAATGTTGAAGTTAAAAGCATCAATCTGGTGCACTTTCAGCACAACATGAATGTATGGATACAGCTCTCAACACTCAGATGATAGGGAGCTGTATACTTTTCAATAATCCAAACATCTTTAGAATATGATCACAACCAATAACAAATCATTTCAACTTGTTTATTCTTATCTTATGTTACCTAGTTAGCATTCTTTCTTTTTCTTTTTGCATATTTTACTAATCACTCCCCTTTTAAACAGTTTTTTTCACTGTCCTATAGTACACATTGGAATGATTTCTTACTTTATCTATATTAAATAGATAAAGGTGTGCTCTCCCTAGCTCTCTCGCTCGCGCTCTCTCTCCCTCCCTAGCTCTCTGTCTTGCTCGCTCACAGACGCTGTGTGCTCCTCCGTGACGATGACGGCTTGCGTAAAAAAAAAAAAACATATTTGTAAAGTGGGGGGACACAAACGGGATTTCGAAAAGAGCGGGGGACATGTCCCCCTGTCCCCAGTGGAAATTACGCCGTGCGTCAAGTGCAATACATATATATGCAAGCTGCAACACACAGAGTAAAGCTCTGCCCCTCATGTGTTGTATAGGCTGCACGATTGGCTGTTCAATGGGGCTGATGTGTTGTGTAGATTCTGCCAGAAGGGAAATCAGCGGGGAGGTGCCACATTGCTTTTCTTCCCGACTGCAACGCTGGTCCCGCAAATCAAGCAAGAACGTGATTGGTCGATATTCATTGTGGGGTGGGGGGAGGAGGGGTATTAGATAGATATAGAGTTGTAGTAAGTAGATAGAGTTCGCTATGATTTAGGTTTCGTTTATGCATAGGGTAGATTATTTTAATTACATTTCCTTTTTTGTTTTGTGTATTTTATACATTTTGGATTTGCTTGGCGAGCTATTTTTAGAACATGCCCCGCGGGCGACTAACCCGCGAGAGGAGGTGAGGTCCACCACCGTGTTGGCTACCCCTGCTTTACAGTATGCTCTGTATTATAGTAATCTTCTCTGCGTTATTGAGTGATCAGGGGATAGTCTTTTGATTGGCTGAAGAATAATGACTTGAGTGAAAACTTCAACAACATATCATTAAATGAAATAATGTTAGACATGGTTGATGTTTTGTTTTTTTACTTTAATAACCCTGACCACGTTCACAAGCACACACTCATTAGGAGTAAACGTTTTGAAAAGTCTATGTATTGGTTCATCTGACACACTTGGTTTTACGTTGACGACATGAGTACGGATGTTGACTCAATGCAACACATTGTGCTGTTCAGTTTGTTTTCCAACGTGCTGCCTGCATCATAAGACACTGCAAGGCATTGTTTACAGGGGATTGCACATGAGTGTAAAGTAAAGGGTATTTCAAAAAGCCAGATAACTAAGTTGGTCTGATTATAATAACCAGATATATTTAGCCTGGTAATGTTTTACAAACAATATATATTTGAATATGATTCAGCATGCGTACTGTTTATATATTTCCTGAGGCAATTTAGAGAATATCCGGCTAACTATGGATCCTGTTTTATTGATTACCCTTTGACAATAGAAAGTCATTAATTACAGGTCATGGTAATTAGATATTATTATTATTATAACATTTCGAAATTATTTCTGATAATGATGAAAATAATAATAATTCAAGTCCTTACATGCATATGTAAACATGAATAACTGCTAACAAATATAAATAAGGTATGTCCTAATTGATGAACAAGTGTGGCACCATGAAACCAAAAGGCGCTTTCACACTGGAGTACTTTTCTCAGTATAGTTCCGATAGTTCTTAAAATGTTGCGTTCACATCAAAAAAATCCGGAACTAGAACTTAGTTAATGAGAACCATTTTACCGCCTTTTTAGTCCCTGCTAGAGAGCAGGTACTTTCATGGGAGAAAAAGGTTCCCATTTCTGATTGGCTGGGCGAATTGCAAACCACGCCCCTGAAAACTTTTGTGAAGCCACCATTGTATTTGCTGGCATTAGCATTATTAGCATTAGCCCAGCGCACCAACGGAGAGAGACTAACTTATGGCAACACCAAAAAAAACATGGGTGGAGTGATGAGGAGGTGTCGGCGTTCTGGCGATTTACTTGGAAGGCTTCAGTAGAAGCCAGTCTCCAACTCTGGGGACTTCGGGTGGCAGTATACGAAGTATACTAAAGAGTTCTGATGAACTAAGTACGGCCAAGTACTTGGTGGGAAAGCGCCTAAAGGTTTATTCCTGTGAAACATTCACCTTTCCTCTTTGCCCCGTTCCCTCTTTCCACAACAAACACATTTTTTAGAACAATTGCATTCTGTCTGAACTGAGCCTTTTCATGACTAATATTTATAAAGCAAGATTTTTAAACGGTGTATTTGCTTCTGGGTGACTAAGTGTTTTCTCTTTGTGTTTTTAATCTCCAGTGGGTCCCCGAAATAACTCACCACTGTCCCAAGACCCCGTTCCTGTTGGTAGGCACTCAGATCGATCTGCGTGATGACCCCTCCACAGTGGAGAAGCTAGCCAAGAACAAACAGAAGCCAATCACCCCCGAGACAGCAGAAAAGCTGGCTCGTGACCTTAAGGCAGTGAAGTACGTGGAGTGCTCAGCCCTAACACAGGTAAGACGTTCCCCTTAAACAACGCCCCTGTGTGGAGCATGTGCTTGACTGTCAGTTTCCTAACAAGGGTGAAAATGTGTTGCCTGTTCTTTGCTAACAGCATTTGTCTACAAACTCCATCTAACTGTGTGTCGTGTGCCTGTCTTCTCCCTTCTTTTCCTCTTTCTGTAGCGGGGACTGAAGAACGTATTTGATGAGGCTATCCTAGCCGCTTTAGAGCCCCCTGAAACTCAAAGAAAGAGAAAATGCTGTTTGTTCTGATGTCTTCTTGCATCTTGCTTTGCCTCTCGGTCGTCTGCTGCTTACTCATTGTAAAGAAACGTCTGTCACTTAAAATTCCACAACGCTCTTTTAAAACTTTGTGCCCATTAACTCTTTTCCTTTTGTTCATGCGTGCTTTCTTTTCAACTTGGCCTAATCACAATTGTCCATGCTGCCTGATACAAAAAGAGTGCCAATCTTTAGTTCTTGTTTCTGCTTTGGTTTTTGTTTACTTTGACATTCTGTTATTGTCTCGTATTGAGCTCTGCAGCATCAGCTGTGCCCTACAAAGTATTTATGCCACAATCTGTCTTTGACAGTAAAGATCTTTTCCTACTGCAGCAAACACTTACCATGGGCTTTTGTCTTTACTCAGACAACTTGATCATGAAGGAGTCATGTATAATGTTATTTGAATAAAGGAGAATTTTGATCGCCCTGCTCCATTTCTACTCGGCCTTCTTTTGCAATTAGTTCCCTGAAGATATTAATTTGTATTTGGAACACAGCCCTGTTTTGAATATTAATATTTTTTTCCACAGAAAGGATTAAAGAATGTGTTTGATGAGGCAATACTGGCTGCCCTGGAGCCCCCTGAACCTAAGAAAAGACGTAAATGTGTTCTGCTCTAAGTGTCCTCGCAGCCTTCTCCACACCAGTTTCCAAATCTAGGTTAACAGTACTGAAGAGGTTTGTTGCACATTCCAACACGAGTGAAGATATTCTGAGATATTTGCTTTCTGACTGACTTAACCTAAATACATATACAATGTGTTGATAATGGTTTTAAGATTGAGTAACACGTGATGATTAGATGCCATCGGAGTGGTCTTACATGTTGTGAATACGTATATACAAACTAGGGGACATCATCAAATAACGTTTTGACCGCATTATGTAAAGAGATCATTTTGCAAAAGGTATTTTAATAGAGTTTTTTATGAACTGCCTGACAAACAAGCTGATGAGGGTGTGTTAGTGAGCCGCTCAAATTATATCCTCGTATAATCTACTTCTGTTTTGTTCTCCAAGTAATTCCTTAAACTCTATCATGTACATATGTTCAGCACTTGCACACAAGACTGCATGTTGTTGAACTGCTTTGACATGAACTTATTATTTTTTCAAACATTTCTTTGAGAATTATGCATTTCTCAAAGGGTTGAAATGTTGCAGTATTTTTACTTTTTTATTTATTTTACAACATAATTTCAGCTCAATGTCAACATAGCCTCCAGGCGTATCCAATCAATATTTGACAATATGACATTTCTAGGCTATGCTCCCGTCATAGCTCTAGTTTGCCAAAACATAACCTGATAAATGTACACTTGTCTTGGTGGAGTTCTGCAAATGCTGACAATGTTTGGAGTTTTCATTCTAAGTTTGATGCAACATGTAAGAAGTTGGAGCACAATAAATCCAGTCATTATTTTTGTGTGGCAGACGTGAGTTAACCAGGTGATGTGTGTCTTGAACGTTTATCTGAAGTTACATTGGCTGCACTTTGTCGGAGCATCCAGCCTATAACCCCAAACTGATGAACCATTTTGTAAACTGATCATACTTGCTGCTGAAGTCAGATAGTAACACATTGTGAACGCTCTTACTAAATGCTATAGTTTGAAACCCTGTGAAGATTTTCGAGTGACTGAACTAGCTCTATTTGTCTTTTACTATAACCATGCCTTTATGATGGGCTTGAATTTGATTTGTAAATATAGTGAGAGTAACTCATAACTTATTGACTGAATACATGTGTGCATTACTGATGCAGATACACTGAGATCACGCTGAATTCAAACAACCAGGGAAATGTTGAGAGAACAAGTGGCTTTGACCCTATGGTTTTTAATCAAGTTGACATCAAAGTTGTACTGTATCCATCACAATAAACCAGTATTATGAATAAACCTAACTTCAAATATTACGTGTTGTCCGACTTCGTGTTTACATCATAAAAGGTTACGCACTTCTATACATTTTCCACAAGGTTTCATTTTCCACGTTCAGCATTTAAATGTACAGAGTAGTGCATATCATTAGTTATTCTGTTAACTCGGTTATTACATGCATTTAAAATACCCCTTGTGAGCTGAGAGATTAACTGTTTAGACATGTCCTTGTTATGTAGCAGTCATTCTGCTCCCACTGATGCAGTCATACCCCTTCACTTGTTTAATCACCCCGACTGAGAAGCAAACTTAAACATCAGAAGCAGCTATATCCTTTCTGCAGGCTGCCTAGTTACAGTATATGGCGTCTTGTCCTGACAGATTAAATATCCAATTGGCATCCAAAAACACTAGATAGAAAACAATTTCATTCAGACTCAAAGTTTCAATTTTCTTATACAAGGTTACAGTTGAGTATGTAAACTGAAACTAGGTGTGACCGTTTCAATGTGACTGCACTGTGTTTTCATAATGACTTTCTACTGGAACACGTTGCCTCCCAGCATCGATATGAGCATGAGGCTCTTCGGGGAAAGTGGGTAATTTCCAATGAACCACATTTTCTTTTAAAGGATCAACCAGAGACCATGAAAAAAATAATGATAATGTTTTTGTTTTTTTATTGTTTCAAACACAATTCTGTATAATTTAGAATAGCATTTTCAAATATATCCATGTTAACTTCATATTTCTTCATTTGGGGCAGCATTGCGGGTGTTTTGAAAATTACATTTCAAAGCAAAAACACATATACCATATTAGTAGACCTATACTCAAAAGGTAAAATGTGGTTATAAAAGGAATACGGAACTTAGTTTGATCCCAATAAGAAGGTGCAATTATAGGCAAAGGCAAATCGGAGGAATCCCTAAGAGCTACGTGTCCGCTGCTGGACAGATCTCAACGCTGCTGTCGGTGACACGAATCCCGTACCATCCTGCCCAGAACTGCGTGTCCCTGCCTCCGTGGGTGAAGCGGATGTATCTCACTCCTGGTCCGTAGTTCTGGAATACATGGGTCAGCTGAAAAGAACACAAATCGGTAAGTCAATAATCGTCCTTGAGCTTTGCACCTCCTCTGAATGCCACGGTGTTCATTATTGCACATACCTGATTCCAAGTCTGATCGTTCCACTGCTCAAAGGTAATGGTGTCAGGAGCAAAAGTCTGGACAATCCCCTTGCTGTGATTCAGCAACTCTACACAGATCTCATATTGACTGCCACAATCCCATCGCGGTGCATACCTGATATAACAAAGAGGCAAAAGCATGCGCACATAGATCTGTAGTCAGCAATTAGGTCCAAACACATGTTTTTCAGCATTGTTCATTGTTTAAAAGGAGAAGAAAGACATTCCTAAAAGTCAGACTAGAGATGTAGCTTCCCACTCAGGAGGAGCAGAGGCCTTATTCTTTTTGCAGTTAAATTACAGTTCTGTTTTTGACGCAAATCTGTTTTGATAATTTAAGCTACGTTTATTTAACTTCCAGCACCATGAGCTGTTCCAATAGCGCCCTTCATTTAAAGTCTTATGTCTTCTTTAATGTTCCTATTATGTGAGCTTTGTATTGTTATCTACAGTAGATGTATGGAAATCATTCAACGTTCTAATGTAATCCATCAAGTCTGAAATTTGACAGGTGTGCATTAAGTTGGATTTCATTCATAGAACTGGTTAAATGTATTAAAGTAATATAGAAAATAACACTTTATATTTAGCACCTCAATGTTTTTGTTACTAATATGGTTTTGAACAAAGTAACTGATGGTCACTGATTCAATTTGCCATAAATGTAGGAATTACTCTCGAGTTGTGTCAGAATGAAATGTGTATTCTTCTCACCAATCAGATATTTTGATGTCAGGCTGGAAGTGATCCATAAACGATGCGTTGTAACCTTCCTTCTCCAAGTCAATCAGCTGTTCCTTCCTGCACATCCTGCAGGAACAGACAGGGTTTCAGCTGCTACACAATAGAAACGATCACATCATGTCATATTTACTGTTTGTTTTCTCCACAACTGTTGGTGAGTACTCACCCGTAGGAAGTAACAAAGTTTTTCTGGACTTTCTCATTTTGGTGTGGCACCAATAATCCCTCTACTTTCCAACGGTCGCCACCATTCTCCAGTATCTTCCAGTTCCTCATCTTATCTGTTAAACAAAGGAGGGTTGTGAGATCAATTATTTTGTAGAGCTAATTTGTTGTTGAGCAGTAACCGATTACAGTGGCAATCAGATGTTGAGTGAGGTTAGTTACGAGGTGTCTTACGTTCCCCTCTTGGATTCTTCAGAAGATTTCTTCTCTGCTTGCACAAGAAGTAAAACAACTTCCAGTCTTTGGGTTTTTTGTAAGTATCACGGAGGTGAAATCCTTCTCTTCTACATCTCTCTTTCCACAGGGACTCACTATCAACCACTTCTTTCCACTGATGGGACACTAACCGACAAGCCCTGACCACCTGATTAGGAGGCAGATTCAGGAAGATCTCCTCCAGGATCAACAGAGGGAGATCAAACTCCTGAAAAGAACAGACAGGACACAGATAAGCTCAAGCTCTGGATAATCAGGTTCGTTTTCAAACACTTACTTTGGACCAAATCCCCCCCTCCCCCTGCTTAGATAACCATATCATTTCAAACTAAGAAACATCAGCATTTTCTCAGCACTAGCAGTTCAAACAGACCATTATTGAAGTAAAAGATGTAGAAAATACCTAATTTACCAAATAAGAGCTGCTCAGTTGTGATTGTAAATCAAAGTTTGGGCTGTTACTGCACCTCCTTTACAAAATAGAAGCAGTCTAGCCAAAAGAGATGTCAACTAAATTAAGTTTAGCCTATGACCAATCAACTGGACAGTTAGAACATGTCCATGATGGCAGATTTGACATGTCATTTCAGTGGCTGACAAGTATACAATAAATACTGTAATAAAATAAATAGTGCAAACCCTCTGTGTATGTCTGAAACATATAGACAGCATGGTCTGAAATCATTTTTTGTATTTAAATGAAACTTATTCATATTGCAAGAACTAATGTATGTTAGCCCATTTCTGCCAGTTAAGAACAAATAAGATACTTCCTGATAAAAACAGAGCCTGTCTTTGGCTTACCAGGCCTCTAAGCAATACTATTACAAAATACTTACTCAATATATCATCATTGTTTTTAAGATACCAAGCCATAGTTTGAGACAGTTTCTTATTGAGTTTCAGCTAGACCTATTAAGCAAATCTTTCTGAAATACTCCTTATTTTGATATCATTTTTGAAAATGTTAATAATGTTGCATGCCTTTATTTTTGAGATACTATAGTTATGGTTTCGATACAAATAACAATTAAAAACGTGCCTACAGGCGGAAATGGGCTTCAATATGACAGCAGGTTGTTGTTGTTGTTGTTGTTGTTGTTGTTGTTGTTATCAGCAGTTCCTTGCATTATAAATAATGTCTGCAAGTCAAGTTGCTCGCTCTTTGCGTATTAACTCAGTGTCTGGGATAATGTAGGAAATACACAGCTTACCCTCTGTAGTGAAAATGAAGCTGACGATCCTGCAGCTTGAACCCTTAGACAGTCTTCATGACTTGAGGCCACAGAAGAGCTTTGAGATCCACCCATAGCTTTAGCTTTGCTCTTCATGCCTAGGCTAATGCAAATGTATTTACGAGTTATAACGCCATATAGCCATCGACTTCTTACCGAAAATACGTCTGCGTAGGCGTTATAAAACCTTAGCTACTGCGTGGCTACATGTATTTATATCCGTATAACTCACAACACGGAAGTACGTCTCGAGGTAAGGAGACTTTCAAGTAAGGCGGAAGCAGCTATAATGTTTCCTACGGCACTAAACTTAACATAATGACGACGCATGTCTGGGAAGCGAAGGACACTTTCGGTTTTACCTCTTCAAATGTCATCGTATTACTTATTCCCGAAAGCGAACAGCTGACGACGCTGAGCTCGGTCGGTATTTATACCAGGACACTTGAGTTGGACGTAAGATACGTAGGCGGAGCTAGCAGATAAAATAACGCGTCTTTTTTTGCTGCTTATTTTCTGCACCGCCCACCCGTAGGTTTCAGTGTACGCCGGGTGACATTAAAAACGAACCCCTTTGAATCATACATTTCCAGGATATGTGTAATCACTGAAGAAGAGTTTATTTCATCCCGGTCAACCCATGTGTATTATAGGTATCAATTATGATATGAAATAATAAAAAAGTAAAGCACATATTAGTAATACAATTAAAATAAAGACAAATAAGTACACAACCATGGCTAAAAACTTGTAATTTTAATAAAATGCCAGAGCAGACAGCCTACAGACGGACTGATTAATACAAAAGAAAAAGGATTTTAATCGAACGGACCCTAGGAAAAAAATCCGGTGTGCATTTTGGAAACATCTTATTGGGCTGTGCAAAGCAGCAGTGCAAATAACATTTCCATTAAGGCTGATATGCTGAACAGTAGTGGTGAACCTTTTAACATTCACAAAGACATTCCCTTTTTAAACAGTCATGCTCAAAAGATGCATTTTATTCCTGAAATAACTACTTTATTGTTCAACTGATGCCTTCATGTCACCTAAAACATGATATTATCACTCCACATTATACTGTGAAAACCCATTTTATGACAGTGGTCAGGGAACATCACCAAAGGGTAAATAACCAAAGTATTGATTGAAGTTGAACTGCTTATTTTGAGAGGAATGTCAAAAATATTTCTATGAGGCACTTTTAGTGAGGATTAAGATCCTCTTAACAAAGAGGGGATGTGCTCTCCTACTGTACTTGTACATTTTCTCAAACTGTGGCTGTTGAACGTAACATTTCATAAAGACTGCACATATTCATAGTTTAGCAGTGAGAGAAACATTCCTTAACACATTACATAACAGAAGATTATATAAGGCAAACAAGAGGTGCAATTTCAAGCAAAAGCAGGAAGTAGATGCATC